ACGGTAGAAACAGACAAACAGGTAAACACAATGAGAGTTTTAGTAGTATATAGATTGTCTTCCAAGATACAAGCTGTTCCTCAACTGTTATATTATTTCAATAGTTTATTTTTTAATTCATCATTGTTGTGCTTTTATGAGTCAACAGCAAACTGGTCTGCTGCTCTTAAAGCTTAAGATCTTATTACTTTTTGATGAACTGTCCACAACATGGAGAAGCTGAGAGGGCAGTGGGAATGCAAATGTTTTCAAGAGTGGTTTATTTTTCTTTTTTTAATTTATATTTATTGAGGATTTTACATAAAGTAAAAGACAAATCTAAAGAAAAATATAGAAAAGAAAGAAAAAAGGAAGAGGTGCAAGAAAAGAAAGAAAAAGAAAAAAACTAAAGTTATGAAATACAATGAGTTCTGACCTTCTCTTCAACAGCTATTAACAAACCTATCATCTCCCCTCCCTCTGAACTCTGCCAGATGTCTCTTCAACCCCTTCTTTAATTCTCATCTGTTTCAATCATTAAATCCATAAATCATCATTTCACTTTTTTCTTCTTTTAGCAAAAAGTCTATATGATGGGTTTATTTTTCAATGAGCAGCACAGCTTCTAGAATTGAAATCTGAAGAATCCCCTGATAGTTCACTCAGTGTATACCTGAGGAGAAACTTGAGTTTGAAAGCATGAGTTGAAAAACTGCATACTTCGACATTTTCACCTTTTTGAATATATACCAGTGCCTAATAAGAAATTTATATCTTAATGACAAATTAGTATTTCTATTCAAAATTAAATAGTTCATGTACATATATGATTTGCATTTATGGTCTTTTGGAGTTGACCCAGAAGTATAAGAAAAAAGGAAAGAAGAAAGGGAAGCATCAGAGTTATGAAATATAGAAGCAAGAAATACCAGTATCTGAACAAGAGAATAGTTTTAACACTTCTGCAAGCAAGGGTTTAAAAAGCTAAGCAGCTTTAGGTTGTGAACCTGATATGTAACTAAGGAGTAATCACTTTCAAGTGTTTCCAAAGCTCCATCACTGTATCGATTTTTTGCCTTTGGGGCTTGGTTTAATTACTTATGCTTATTAACAGGAAGTTAAAATAAGGTTCACCAGTTTTTCTCCCAGCAGGAGATCCCTGACTTGAAGCTTCCAACCTCGATAATGGGACCAGTTCTCCAACCAACTCCAATCCATTCAAAATGCAGAGTGGGGTCTTGGATGTTGCTTTGCCATTTTCTTTTAATGCATAGCTTTATTCCATACACATTGGAAAATCCCAGTAGAATTATTTCATTTCAATGTACTGCAGAATGCTGATCTTCTCTGTGTATATGGCTTCTTTCCTTTTGCAGTAAAACAGGTAATCTGGCCATATCATGTCTGTAAACTTCTGCTTTAATCAAATGCCTTTAATTGTTTAAAGAGTCAAGATTTATTGCTATGTTTGGAGTGAAGCTTGACTCTCACAGTGTCAGGTTCAATATGTTTTGGCCTTCCTATTACATTTAGAACAAGATGATTTCACAGTTTCTTGCCTAAAATTATACTTCAACCTATCACTTCCTCTTCTCCTTGCTGGGGGAGGGGGAACTCCCTTTTTTCTAACCAACTGATAAAATATTTCATGAAGGGCCTGGCATATCTCTATCCATCAGCATCTCCACCACTTCTAGTTTGGAGTCTGTCCTTTGTTCTCTCCATGTTAATGATGAAGCACTTTTTGTCCATGGTGACCACCCCATTCACTTCCTATCATGGAAGACAACTTTAGCTCACTGGGTAGGAGAGCTATGTATAGTACCTTGAAAAAATATTCTCTTTATCTTTCATAAGTATAAGATCATTTTTTGATTCAGTCATCCTCATTCTTCCAAATTCTGCCTCTGTGTTTCACTTGAGTCAGGTCATTATAGTTCAAAACATAACTAAAGTTTGCAGCATCTCTCTTCAATGATTGTCTAAATGGATAACAGCAACTATTAAGCATTATTATGCATTGGCTAAGAAGCTGTGCCCCCTTCTACTAGGGGGACAGTAGCATCTGCAGCTTTTCTTCAAGGAATCCCTTTACTGGTACTGTGGTGGGCAGCAATAGGGACATAGTCTTCCACCTTCATCCCATGCTACAGACTTGACTTCCACTTTCAGAGAGATGCCATCTTTGAAAGAGCAGTCCTTTCTTTTGTTATTTTATGACAGTCAGACCTTCTTCCAGGTAACTGGTTACTGACCAATATGTGTGAATCACAGAGACTACAGTGAAGATGTGTAACTAGAATTTACACTTTAGGTGTTGATTTGTGAATTTGCCCAACCCACTCTCATATCTCACTTTGTATCAGGTTACTTCACTGTTCCTCCTCATATCTACTGTGTCAGTCTCAGAAACTGAAGAGATTCAGCAAAAACCTTGTCTTGATGCATGCTATGCTATGCTCAAAGGACAGGATTCCCACCAAAGAATTCTCTCATCTCTAGAAGGTTTCCAACAGGCCTCTTCACAGGTGCATAATCCATATGTGTGAATTGTAGAACTTCAACTCACGGTAAATAACTAGTATTTTCATACACCATCATACATATTATGCATATGATCACGAGCAGTCACGTTTAGTATATAAATACTCAACTTGCTATTCCAGAGCTCACAGTATTTTCTGTGTGATTAAAATACACTTATTATCTAGATAGTTTGCAGAGCCCAGTTCAATGGTTTAATGCATGTGATGCACCTTAGATGTGGTGGAATTATAACCAATCAACCAACATGACCATGCAAAATGACATGCAGAAATCCAATAAAGTTGGAGGGGGGGGGCAGGTAAGAATTGTTGATAAATGCTTGGTTTTCATGGCATTAGTTCTGCCCTGAGATACTGTTATCAAAATATGGAACAATGCAGCTTCATTATAATGACTAGGGGTTCTGTCTTCATCAGCCATTTATTGTTTGTCATAACAGTAGAGTTACCTGATCTGGACTGTAAAAATCCAGATGATTACTAGATGGCAGCAAAGAGACAAAAACCTCTAACTTTTTGCTGCCATCTTGCTGGCTGGATTTTTACAACCCAGATTTGGTAGTTACAATAACATCACATTCTATCTTATTCATCCTGTTAGTCTTTTCAGTAAGTAAGCAGTGAGAGATAAATTTTTCAGACTCTGGGCAGCATATAGAGGAATAGAAGCAAAGCAGTATCAGATCAAAACTACAGAATCCCAGTACAATAAAATAAATGAAGCTCTTAGAATATATTGCAGAGTTGTCCCAAATTCCATTGGTCTGAGCCCTACAATGTTCTAAGCTAAGGTTCATAATAGGCAATCTTTGTACAGTAATAGCTTCTGCTTCCTGATTTGAGAAAGCTTGTGGTAGGAATACATCCATGTTATCTTTTTGGGATTTGACTGTAGCCTGGAAAGTCAGGGAAGCTGTGGGTTGCTGGAGAGGAGATTATACAATGAAAGACATTTCTTCCTTTCCTGTGTCTGTGGTGCTGCTTTTCACTGAAGCAGAATTAGTGGTAGAATTGTTTACTATGGGTGGATCTGCAATAATTGTAGACCAATTATTATGTTGCTCAAGTGGAGGTTAAAGGTTGGTCTTTACCATTTCTGTATGTATGTGTACAACCCATCATTCCAGGAAAGATGTGTTCCAGAGAATCTCAGAATCTTCTGTTCTTACACATAATGCTGGTCTACCTGTTCTATGGATAGTTTGGTGGTTTTCTAGATATTAGTCCTCTGAGCAGGAACTGGGATTTTCTAGAACACCATAAACCCATGTGGAAGGATTAACTTCTGGAAGATGTACTCTTGTTCTCCTGTCAGTTTATCAGGTTTAACTGTCTGCCTAGCCAAATAAATAGGCATGTAGCAAAGTCAGAAAGCTTCCTTTGACTATTTCTTAACTAACATAAATGCAAGAATCTCAGCTCCGTGAGAATTCCACTAAATATTTCCTTGTTGAGAGACAAACAAAATTCTCTTCCATCAGATGAATGAGAATGGTTAAAAAAAAAACTGAAGAAAATTTTGATATAATTCATGCTAAAAGAATAAGCTGTGTTTTTCTCTGGTGTGTCTTATATAGATATTTGAAACTCAAGATTGATTTGGAGATATAGCATCTTTCTGCTAGATCAGACTAATGACATATCTGACTGCATGGATTAACCTGCCTCTTGCTTTCTTTTCATGTTTGAGGGCTTTTTTTCAAATGTATATTGTGTTTGAGAATGCTTGTTTAGTCCTTGCTAAATAATTAAGCATCTTCATCATATATCTCTTATATAGGCACAGAGAATATTTCTCCACTGATCAAGTGCTCTCCCTTTCTCCCTGCCCTCAGCTACCGATTCATATGATATTCTGTTCTATTGGATATTATGTTCTTTCTGAAGAACAGATAAGATAAATGTAATAATATGCATTTTTAGAGCTGTTCTTTAAACTGGCTATGTTTAATCCAACTCTTTTAAGGCTGTCCACCTGAACTCCTGGAGTGTGCAGGATGTCTTTTGTGGATGGATTTTTTCCTATTTAATTTAGCTAATCAAGATTGAACATCCGTCAAGTGCCAGTTTCTAATCCCAGTAATGTTTTATGGTGTCAGAGAGCCTCTTCACATTCTTTTTTTAGAAAAGCAAATTCATAGTGATGCTTATTGTTCAACAGCATGACAGGGAAAAGAAAATCCAGGAATTACAGCATTTTTCTTAAATTGTTCTTCACCCTTCTTACAATGCATGCAAGCCAGTTAAGTTCCAATTAAGTTTCTGTAAGCATTTTTAGCTACTTTGGAAGGGAATGTGACATCAAAACTGCTTCTGTGTACCCACCCAGACTTAAATAGCATGTTCAGTGTGAAAATTCAGCATTCTTGTTATTTTTTAAATTTAAATGCTATTTAAAAAATATTAGTAATGTAGAAGTAATATGTAAAAGTAAGTTACAAGGAAACAGAATGAAATCCAAGAAGCAAAGCTGCAATTGTGTTTAATATTTGGTTTTATGTACTGAATTTGACTTGAGCGTTGGTTGGCAGCATAGCTCTGATGAAAATTCCTGTAAATAGTAAACGGTGTTGTGCTGCTAGGTTGTATATTTGGAGTTGGCTGTTCAACACTGAATTGGTGGCAAACTGATCCCTTTTTCCCATTATTGCAACTGATGGTGGGGTAAATTCTTTTCACCACTTGTACATGCTTACCAAGTTGGTATATGCTCCTTATAGTTTTGCCATACTGTAAACAGCTATGTCTATCCGCCTCAAATTCTGGTATACTGAAATTCCTGTAAAATGCTTCTCATGCCATAAGATATATTTAAATAAGTCTCAGTATTTCATCACTTGGGGGCAGAAGAGCAAATCTATGTGTAAAAATTGTAGTAAGTAGTGTTGGTAGTGAAAGTTTTGTGATGGTTCAAGACATACTGCTACTGTTCAGCATTCATCAACCTGACACCCTTTAGCCATGTAAGTCTATAACTCCCATTATTCCCTGTCAACATGGACAGGGAAGGCTAATACCATTGGGCTGCCTTTAAAAGTTCACTCACGCTGATCATCGTCTACTTTGCAACTTCCATATTTCACTATGACTGAATGAAATCATATTAAAATCACTCACATTATTAAGATGTGGTTTTGTTAATTGTGTCTCATATAATATTGTGGCCTGGAGCATATAAAGCATTAAGTCACATCCCAAAACACCATTCTGTGGCTGAGGTGAGATATTGAAACGCAGAGTGTGTCTCACATTTATAGCATTAGATAAATTTTGGGACTGTGTGAACCATTTGAAGGGGCTGTTTGTGGCAATCCTGATGAGAATATCCTCTCTACATGTACATGCATTGCCTGATGAGACAAGGAGGTGAGGCCCTTGATGGCCATATCAAGTCTTTAAGAAGGCACAAGCCTTTTTTGCTTTGAGCAGTAGGTTCAAATGAGTGCACAGCTCATACTAAACTTCCATATACAAGTTTGTAGAATAAGTATTGTCACAGTTACCCCTGTTTTATAGTACCAATACCAGGTAGTGGAGTTCATGCTTTGGAGCAAAGCAGAGTTATAGGCAAGTGTTTGCTTCAAACTGAGGTGTCTAAAATCTAAAAATACAGCAAAAAGCTTGTTTGAAGTAAGTAGTAATAAATTACTGCTTTTTCATTTGTAATTTATCCTGTGGTAATGAATGCTTCTCTGTAAAAGTAAAAATAGTTTTGAAAAAATAGAGAGTAGGCTATAGAGGTTCTACCCTACCCCAATAACTTCTGTTCCAACTTAATATGCAATGCCTATAGGTAAACTCCTTTGATTGTTTCTGTAAAAGCAGTTTACAATAAAGGTAGGTTCCTCAAACTGCTTGCACACTGCCTTGATTTTATAGCCATCAAGGAAGATTGCAGTGCAATGAATGACCATTGGACAGTTTATAAACTGAAATCAGTGGTAACTCTTCCCTTCTGCCCATCTGCAAAGATGAAATAGGAAAGGAACATATGCATTTTAATTTATGAGTCAATAAGGAGCTGCCTTCATTCCATGCACTGGGGTTTTTGTGCTTTGGCTGTTTAGCTAAAAATCTTTAGCAAAATACATTTTTCTGAGTAGTTTAGTATCTGCATGTCAGACAGCTGTGCGTTGGACTTGAATTCAATAAGAAGTTTTCCAATTTTGTACTTTTTCTCAACCCATTTCCTGGACTAGATTTGTTTTTTCCATTGTTTACATGCAAACTATTTGCACATTGAAGAGGTTATTAATAATAACTATGAAATAAAAGTATTTAACACAAGTACTTCCATGTTTGCCAGCTGATATTTTTTTCTCATCTACCTTGGACATAGTTTCACAATTGGCTTTAAGGAGAAGATATAAGCTAAATTCATTCTCACTGATGAAAATAGTATAAACTGAGGCGATTGGATGTGGTTTAGATAGTTACAGGCATGAAATAACTTTTTGGAAGTTCCTCGTCACCATAAAGTAACTATCTTAATAAAAATGGACCATGTAACTGGGATTTCTAGGTAACATATTTGTCTATCATATATTTCATTATTTCTAAGTCAGTTTCTAGCTCTTCCTCAGTTAATGGATGAAAATCCAAGCCAATTCTCAGTGGTCCTCCTTGAGATCTATGAGACAAAGAAAATGGGTTATTATTGGAACATACTTGCAATCTGATATCCTCCAGATACTCTGGTCACCAGACAAACATGACATTGGGCTTAAGTCTTAAGAACATAGGCATTTTGGGTTGGACAGCAGTATAGATTATGTACATTTGTGTTTGAATTAGTTAGAAAAGTTTCTGTGTGTATATTTGCAGATGTGAATCAACTTTTAAAATAGGATGCCTTATTTTAATATATGTTAATTTAACCATTTTATGGCCCTATAATTTTTTTTAAAAGAGGTCTTTGGGCAGTGTGTATATAAAGTCTCCTTTGAATCAAACTTGACTCCTGATGACTTTATGGATAAGTCCAGGCCAAATTTGTGCCTGAAAATAGAACTCCAGTTCTTTATTCTGATACCTCTTTTGTTGATGCACATTTTAAACATTTAGGTTATTTGAAGAACCTAAACATCTTGACTGGCACTAACTAATTAGATGTTGCTGAGACAGTGCCTGTATAGTCTATTTCTATAGCTTCTGCTCTACTGAAATTATTTGCAAAATACAAATTGGTAGATGTCCTCTCAATACTTTTGCTCTAGTGGTTTCACAGTTAGAAACAGCTATTTATGGCTATTCTGAACTTGTTTAACACGTTTGCTTCAGTTGTAACACTGTGACATGCATCTTTCTCATCAGAAAAGACTTTTAAGTGATTCTAATTATATTGCTCATGCAGCTTACAGAGAGCTTCATGTTTGCTTTAAAATTGATTTTAAAATTCAACTTATATACCTAAGAACTATTTAAATATATTCCATTCTAATGTTTTTCTGGCTTTAAAAATCAATCGGCAACCAATATTATTATGGTATGATTTTTGGCTCTGAGGATGGTGTAAGGATTTTATAAATAAAATAAGTGTCTGGGTTCATGATACATTTATATATTTCTTGGAAAATCTTTATTTATAAAGCAGGACAGACATCCACAGCTTGCTTAGGTCAATGCAAGAGACTTTAATTAGTCTAACAGATTTCATTTTCTTTCTTTCACCTGTCATTTCCAGTTGTTCAATATCACCAATGAATACTTGCTTTTAAAAACGATTATGTATCAAGGGAGACATGATGGGAAAAAAACAAGCCTTCCTGAATTTGTGGAACCTATTTCTGGATCCTAGTTCAATTACTGGTTATCTCCTTTTATTTTCATTCATTCATTCATTCATTCATTCATTCATTCATTCATTCATTGCCAAACATGTTATAGAATATCTTATTTATTAGGACATCAAATTATGGCTACCGAGCATAGCATCTATAGCATCTTCTGCTCAGAACTGGACACAATATTTGAGGAGGATTCTGGTGAATGCAAAGTAAATTGAAAATATTATTTCCCATGACTTGAAAGTTATATTTCTGTTGATGCAGTCCAAAATTACAATTGCCATTTTTTTGCAGCCATATTACACTGATGACTAATACCAAGTTTGTAATTAGATTTTCACAAGTAGTTTGGATGGAACATGATGAAACAAGCTGGTCCAGATTGGCAAAGGAGTGACACAAAGCTATAATACTCTCTCCCTATTTATTAAACCCACTTGCTGAATACATATTGAGGAAATCTGGATTGGAAGATGTGCATGGTTTTAAAACTGGAGGAAGATATACCAATAATCTATGCTATTCTGATGATACTTCTCCAAGGGCTAAAAATGCAAATGATCTACAAGCTCTAATAACAAAAGTCAAGGAGCATAGTGAAAAAATGGACTTTCAAAATGTAAATATAAAGAAAACCAAAATAATGACAAGTACAACAACCAGCTTTAGGACTAAGGGTGAAGAGACTGATAGCTTCTGCTTTTTTCAAGGTTGATTATTAACAGTAAAGGAACCAGTAGTCAAGAAGTATGCCTCAGACTAGGACTTGGTAGGATAACATTGAAGGCCTTAGAAAAGATTACAGATGCTGTGAAGTATGTATACCCACATATATCAAAATTATGCAGGCAGTGACTTTCCCTGTGACAAAAGTTGGACTTTGAAGAACCAGGACAGAAAGAGTATTGACATTTTTGAATGTTGGTGTTGGAGAAGACTTTCTGAGCATATCATGAATCGCCTAGAAAAACAAAAACAAAAGGAACATAGAACAAATCAATCAAGAGTTCTCACTTGAACTACAAAAGACCAGGCTCAAATGATCATATTTTGGACACATTATGTGAAGACTCAGCTCCCTTGAGAAGTCTATAAAGCTGAGAAGGGTGGTAGAAAAGAGAAGAAGAGGACAGCTAGTAGCAGGATGTATGGACTCAATATAGTGGTGATGGGTGCACTGTTGCCTGAAGGGCCAGACTGGGGACAGATCATCCTGGAGAAGGTCCATCTGTGGTAAGAGATGACACTAAATTGATGGGACATAATCAATTTCACAAGTACTGTTGCCAAGCTAGACATCCCTCTTATGCCTATGCACCTCCTGTGCTTATACTTCCTATTTCTTAAGTGAAGAACTTTGCATTTATCTTTGATCAATTTCATTGTTATTTTTTAGCCCTTTTCTCTAACTTATCAAAATAATCATAGAGAAAAGCCACATGGTGTTTAAGAGATCACACTGACTTGATGGCACATAATCAATATAAAAATAAATATGAATGTGATATCATCTACAATGTTGATAAATATTTCTTTACCCTTATCATCCTAGTGGGCAGGATTTATAATTGGATTGCTGACCAGGGGAGCCTCAAAATTGACAGTGCATCTTCTGGAAAACAACCACCCTTTTACAGATAAATTATACTAAAGTTATGGCCAGACTGAGAGCTGCTTTTGATGAACTGGGTAGACAAGGAATAACTTATCATAAGATTGAACAGCTGTGACAAGGTAAGCACAGAATATAAGTGTAGAGTTCCATTGGATTGAGGCTGTGTATACATTTTATAAATAAGTGACACGCAGCGTCTGGTCCAGGATGTGAGATGGAATGAGATGACATAGATTGACTGGTTTAAAAGAGCCTACAGGATGATCAAATTGGACAGAGCACTCCAAAACCTTTAGAAGCATTCCTTCAGTCAAAGGTCAACAAACTCAGCTCAGCCACTAGGACATGTGAACAGTTCACACAATGAACTTGCTAATCACCCCCAGCAGCCCCTCCTTAACAATTCAATAGAAGA